GTTTCTGGACGAGGAGACGCTAAAATCGATTATTTAGTAAGTTGGACGATTTGATTTCTACTTTTGTTACTTCTTCCTTCAAACAATGTCTAGCTTTAGTCTAGACACTGAACTAATCGGTAACTTCAAATATTTATACTTGTAATCTTAGCTAAAAATAAAGCTAGTCTGCATTCGAAGTTAAGAAAAGTGAAGCTTTAACAGAGCGGGCCAATTTAATCGATCGATTGAACAAAATGACTAAAATTGTACAATTATGCATTGCTGGGTATACATGTCGATAAACTTCGTTTCATTGGTTTAGGCGAAAAATCGCGTGAAATAAACAAGGCACTCGGCGATGGCGCACCGTGCGCTAATAGCGCAGCCGTGCAGTGTACTAGAATAATTCAACGATAGAGAAAACAAGAGAAAGCAAGTACACTTGTAAGGCGAGCGCGGAACTTGAAGCGGCGACATGAAACAAGCGGCAAGCCCTAGAAGAGACGAGCAACTGCACGTATGCAAGACAACGCTGAGAGCGAGCCTGCAATCGGAGTTTGGGGGAATGCTCGCGGGATTTCGGGGTACAATCTCGGTCCAGGAGAGACTCAATGGCGCTGGTGCGCGTCTTATTTTTAGAAGACTCGCGATACAAGTTATTAACCCCCCGCGCGCGAAGCTCGCGCTTGGTCGCTCGTGTATGTGTATCGTGTGTGTGTGTGTGTGTGTGTGTGTGTGCGCGTGGGGGGGTATGTGTGCGCGCGCGCCGCTCGTATACCGATCGTTTAGGAGGTTTCTCTACCTTTCAACGCTGGCGCGCGGCGCGGCCCGCTCGCGCGTCTTGCGCACGTATATATACGCACACACGGCGAAAAAGAGAATGCCGCAAACAAAGGCGAGACGATGGCGCCAAGTCAGGGAATTAACGTCGGGGAACAAGACGTGTGTCGTGATACGCACCATCCACCTGAGCTCCGTCTCGGAGGCTCCGAGGCTTACCCTTTTTTTCTTTGCCAATGTTCTCGCCAGCTTTCGTTAATCTCGTCACGGAGGCTTCGCCCTTCCAACGTATTTCCGATCCCATTGAGCAGTTTCGTACAATTTTTCATCGATCGAATATGTACACAACTCAACTGTGCAAAACATCCGTGATCTTGCGACTGGTCGACAACCTATTTCAATTAAGCGCAAACCATTCAGATCAGTTTTCATTTAGCAACCGCGTGCAATAGTTTTATAAGACTGTGCCAATTTTTATGCCAAAAAGTTATACCTTTGTGTGTGGTTGTAAGCAAATAACGCTTTCAGAATACCTCGGTGTACTTTCGTTTTTTTGTTACATTGCATTGTTCTTGGTATACCAGCTAATCAAAAGATATGACCATGCTCTCACAACAGGATCAATTGTTACTTTTTCGCGCGTTTTCTATAGAATATTATGATTTCTTGTCATTGTTATTGTCGGGATGGATGCTCTTAAATAGATATATGCGAAGGTAAAATTCAATTTGATCTAGCTTTTGATATCCATACTCGTACAAATATTAATCATCTTGAAATGATTTCCATACCAAACCCAGCTCCAAACAATCAATTGGAAATTTTTTGTACATAGCTGGGATGATAAATTAATTATTTGTTTTAGGTGTTAGGTCCAAATAAATCAAGAATAAGCGAGCAATCACGATGAACAAAAGCGAGCTGAACATAATGCTGAACGGCAACGGAAGCGCAAACAACAACCAGCAGCTTTACCCGGGTGTAATATTACGCTCAACAGTGGCGCAACAACGAGATCACTCGCACATTCCGGTGCCAAGATCAGGCAGTGCAGTTAACTGCATTCCATCCAAATTTCACCCGAACGTGATAGGCCACGCGGCCTTGCGCCCATCAACGAGTCACCAACATCAGCATCAGCACCCACCCGTCGGAAAATCAATGTCTGTCGCCGCGCAGAGGGCTGCCTTTGAAAAACTCGACGCAGCCGCCGTCGCAAGCAGTAGCAGTCCCGTCAAACTTGTGCGCGCCAGCAGCACTAACAGCAACAGTCAGACGGAGATACCGTCGCCGGTTACCTGTCGCAGCCCCCGGCTTGATCGTAGCAATAGCTTTCAAGAGGCTAGTCGCTGGAAGGCTAAGTTCGAAGAGGCTGAAAAACGCAGAAAGATGCTGCTGCAGAAGAGCGAGTCTGGTCAGTTGGCGCTTTTTTTCTTATTTTCAACGAATATCATTAGTACTGCTCTACAATTGATCAATTTACTGTTGATGACTGTTTGTTCAAACTTAATTTTTTATTGAGAACTTCGTTATCTGGGTTTTTATTGCAGTTCAAACTTCATTATGGCTCTTTCAAATTCAGTTAAATAACAGTTACGTAACATCATATAAAATGTTTCTTGATTCTAGAATCAAAAGAAATTACATTTTATCAAGCTCGTTCGTAAAGCGACCTACATCCTATATCAGCAATGTTACGATAATTTCTTTATAAAATATATCAAAGGTCCCTTTAATTTTCCGAGTAAATAATCTGTACATCATTCACAACTGCAGAGAGACAGTAAAAGTTGCAAGCTCGAAATATAACGTACAGCACAGACAGCAAACGAAGTAAAATTTAACGGCATAACACGGCGGGTGCGCCTCTCGTTTTTTATTTCATTCATTATCCCGGCCGAAAGCTAGGGAACGAGAATCCCAAAAGAAATAAATACGGAAGAAGCGCACGACGAGGGTTGATCGCGCGACAGTGCGTGAGCACGAAACTAGGTCACGTGGCAGGGAATTGGCGGAATGTTGTTGGAAAGTTTATTACGAAATTTTTTCTTTTCAGTGCTTCTGCTATTGTTGATTTATTATGAAAAATAACGAAATACGCAAATTATAGTTTGTTATGGCATTTCCAAATCGAGTAGCATTGGAAGGAATTTGATCATTCGATTGTTGCTGCTTTTCTTTTATTTTAATTCAAAGTTAATCAAAACATTCTTGTATAGAAACTACACGCTTACGAAAATGAAAATATTCGTTTTCGTTCATTTTTGTTGGGTTACTTACATTTTTTTACGATTGTCATTTCGATACCGTAAGGTTTTTATTACTTATCAAGGAGTCAGCAAGGGGACAAATGTGAAAAAGTTAGGAAATTAAGTTACCCTAGTACAGGAGGGTTGGTTCCATGTGCATGTGTATATACGCTCTTTAGGCGCTCACGTGACAAGCATTTTACAGAGCTGTATATACGCAGGAAGAATATTTGATTTTGAGGGTAATGTTATCTATTTCCACTATAAACTTTAAAATAAGAGCGTAGTATAGCTGGTCATTTAATTTTATGATTCTAAGAATCTTTTTTATTTAAAATTGAACTGCATCGAATTATCGAATAGCAAGAAAGTGAAGTAAATTTACGTTTCATTATTCGAAAAAAATTCTTTCGATCACATTAGAACTAACAGTTTTATGATTTTGTTTTTAAATAATCGTCTGCATCTTTTTTATGCGAAATTAAGCATCTAAATAAATTTGATATTACAAACAATACATACATGTTGTAGTAATTGTTATAGCAAAGGAGTAATGATTTCTACAACTTGTGTGTACTTTAACCAGCGTTGATCTTTGAATTAGCAAAGCAACTAAGCAATTCTTCAAAATATTAATAAAATTCTACGTAATGATTCGGTGTATATAGCTGAAACCTTTACATCCCCAATCAATTCAATTTTTGACAGCTCGCTGCTGCAATCGAGCATTTATTTATAATTTCAAGTGTTGGTTGGGGAGGTCAAAGCATGTTGATAAAAGTATAATCTACGGAGAAACGCCTTGATGACTCCTTGCGGGCAGATGATTCACGTATCCAGAGGCGATACAGTGGTGCATGCAGATCGGCTGGTCCGCTGGCTTAGTCACTCGTCAGTGCTGCTGTGTGCTCTTAAACATTGCAAATACGCAATGCTCACGCACCACGACGACGGTGGTCAATCCAATGAATAATGACGAGATTTTATTCTCGAGCACGTTTTTCTACGTGCTCTTGTATCACTTTGCATTTGACATTTTATTGTTGCGCGTACGCGGCATTCGAATACAGTCAAAGACATTATGGTATACTGAGTCACTTTTCAAATATACCCTTTGGATACACCGTATAGCAATACGATTCGATGTAGAATGTGTTATAGCAGTGACAAATTTAATTGAGAGATACGTGTTTTTATTATGTTTATATATATATATATAATAAAACGACAAATATTAATTGGTCTCTCTCTCTCTTTCGCTCGCTCTTGGTACTTTACTTGGTACTTTAGGTTACGAATGTTGCATTCGTTTTAATAAATTTTTATTAGTTTGTTATTTTTCTACAGTGAACAGAGAAAATGCCGATCTTGAGAAGAAGTACCAGCAATTACTCAGGCAAAATAACACGTTACAAACACAACTACAAGATAAGAGTGAGAAGTTAGATAAAATGCGATCAGGTAATCTTATACTTTTATAAACATTTTATCAAAAACATTGTTTTCTCAATAATACTATATATATTAAAAACGCTAACATTGTATATTCAAAAGATTGATTATTTATAAAGGTAAATTTACAATTAGTACTATGCGCTAAATTTTGGCAATGCATGATTTCGTACTTTTTATGCGATTTTTTTACCATGCACGTAGTTATTATTCGCGTCACGTAGAAAAGTTTTATGTAAGTCAAGGTAAATAGATACAGTGAATCGTTCATGCTTGACATGTTCGTTCATTTACGAATTTATACTATAAAATTGATAAAAGTGCATTGCAATGTAAATTTAAAGTATGAATAAAAAACACACTTACACAAGTAAGAAGAAAACACTCGGGCCATTTTGTTGTTTAGTATCCGAAGCTGTCTGCAAAGAGTACGAACAACTCAAGCGACAATACGATGTTGAGACGGGAGCGATGCACAAGGCTATGCAGCAGGCTTCCCAAGTAAGTTAATCGTACGATGTATTTATTATAGAATGACAAGTTTCACGACCAAAACGCATTGATCTTTTTGAACGGCTGGATTTAGGCTTCATATTTCAATATATTTATATTTAATTACGTTTATGTAAGCGCACAAAGTAGCTATTTTGAATTTTAGTTATTTACTTTACAACTCAATTTCAATTCTTGCGCCTTTGACGAAAAGACGTCTCGACTACGCATGCGTAAACTACCACCGTCCACTACAAACAATCACGATTCACAAAGCAGAACATCGTCTCCCATCGGTGTTTGTTTGACACTTCCACACACTTCCGTATCTACAAAATCAATAGCATCAATATGTGAAGAAGAATTTGTGGCTATTTCAAATCGAAGATAATAACATTGTGTTCGTAATGTCCAGCTCTGATAGTGAGGAAGAAGTTCCATTTCAACCTGAATCCCAAAAAGATGGAAAAGACTCAATACCTGCAAAGTCAAAGCTTAAATATGAAAAAGCTTACGAAACTTATGTCGAATGGAAAAAGAAAATTGGCGTAACAACAACAGAAAATTGGCTGATAGAATATTTCAACAGATATATGCAAAAATACAAACCACCCAGTGTATTGGCACATTATTCTATGTTAAAAAGTTTAATAAAAGTGCATGAAAATATTAATATCGGCAACTATAGCATCTTAAATGCCAAATTAAAAACTTATGCGACAGGATACGAAAGTAAAAAATCTCTCGTGTTCACGAATGACCAGCTTTCAAAATATTTACAAGAAGCTCCTGACAGAATACATCTTGCCAATAAGGTTAGTTTTCACAGCCTTGATATAGCTAGGAGATTTACCGTTGTAGTAGTGAGCATCGGAGAAATCGGGGAGAGGGGATAGTAACACAACAGAATTGTAGTTTACACTTTTAAATAAACTGATTTATTACCGACACGTTAGATCTCTTAATTATCATTAATAATTTTTTTCATTTGATATTTGTATAATATACTATAGTCCGAGCCTGTTTGAAAATAATTTTGCTCGTTGCATTATTAAAATTTTTTTACTAAAACAACATTATTGTGGCTAATGCAGTTATTAAATTTTCTTCATAGATTCTGTAAGTTTAAATACTCATTTAGCCAAATTTGTACTAGTATGACCTACGGTGTGAATTTGCAAAATTATACTTGGTAATTACAAACAAAAAAAACTATAGGTATATTATAACGACAGTACACTATGAATTCATATATAAATATAAATCTTGCGTTATTTGTAAAGTATGAAAATTAAGACTTCAAAATGAATATTCTCGAAAAAATAAAAATCCGTAAATACGAAAAAAAGTACGCTAAGAAAAGAAGAGAGCCGTTTAGTTTCGTATTACAATAACTTTGTTGCCTCTCATGTAATTTTATTGTTGATTTTGTTGCTACATTTTTTATAAAATCTGTTATTATATTCTAAAACGGAGAAATAACTTATGAACAACTTAACGAAACTTAAAATTATTTTTTGAGATAATACTATAACTTACAAATTTTATTTTCACGTGATCGCAATTCCGTTCCCATTCGAAACGACAAATTTAAGAAATAATGGTAAAACATTGCAGCTTTGCGTTCCTCCCCAATTCTTAAAAAACTTACCTTAAGCACATCGTACCAAATGAATTCAAGAAATGAATAAAATCTTAACATTTGCAGGTCGTTATGATTTTTGGAATTATGGGCTGCTGTCGTGTAGATGAGATTACTAAAATAAGAGTGAGTGATATTAAGAAAGAAGGGCAAGTACTTATTGTAAATATACCCAAAGAGAATGCAAAAAATAACAAGCCTAGAAAATTCACAATTTACGCAGATATGAGTGCTATAGTAAAAAAATACTTAAATCTACGTTCTAAGGGTACACCGACCGATCGCGTCTTCGTAAATTATCAAAAAGGATTATGCACGAAACAGCCAATAGGTAAAAATAAAATGCACTCTATTCCAAAGCAAATAGCAAGATGGCTAGAACTTGATGATCCTAGCTTGTATTCTGGCCTCGCGATAAGGCACACAGCGGATACTTTTTTATCCACCTCGGACGTTGGTACGACAATTGTATTGAACCGACTGAAAGAGTGGAATCGTGACGATATAGATCAGACTCACGAACAAGATCCATTGGGAGATGATTCCCAGTCAAATTTACCTGCGACGTCTGCCAATTTAAATGGCAAAGTGATAAATGACCAGGCGTATACATATATTACACATACCAATTTGAGTGATGAAGATGAGCAACAACCAGAATGTTCAGCGCCACTTTCGAAACGTCGAAAAATTGACCAACTTGATAATCCTTCGACTAGTGCCTCTGATTTAACACGGCAAACAAATTCTAAGAAAGATCAAACACGACAAACAAATTCTAAGAAAGATCACTCGGTTAATATTCATTACTCTATATTTTTGTAAACTTATTAATAAATACGAATGTTCTATTGAAACAACAATCGAAAAGTTCGGAAAGATCAATGTGTCAAAATCACAACAATTCTCTAAACAAAATTTTTATTTTACAGTGGTATCAACAAAATCGCGAATTGAAAAGGCGATCACAAGTGATAACTCAAAGATATCTGCAAGCAAATCCAGATGCTTTGAATGATTTCGATTTGCAAGACGAGGTCGACAATCATGCTGACGATATCGAACAGCTCCGTGAAACCGTAACAGGTGTGTACCTTTGTTAATCTTTGTTCCACTTTGCGAATTTCTGTATCACTTGGTACTAAGGAAATTAAGTTTTTTCGAGAGGCTAAAAAACGTTGCCTTGTTTGCACAGAACTCAGCCAAGAGGTTGCCAAGTTGCAAACGGAACTTAGTGCCGCCAGATTACAAGAGTTCGAAGCTCAAGAGCAAGTGACACATCTAACTGCTCAACTGGAGGAAGAACGAGTGGCTAGAGAAAACGGTACAATTTTGTGTTTCATACTTTTCATAATAATGTGACCGTCAACATTCTAATAATATACATAAACACTTAATTTGTTTTTTTAACTTTCCCAATAAAATATAAACTTTAATTTATAGAAGAAGAAAACGTAAGAAAAATCAAGACCCAAAAGGAGAACATGGAGCGAGTAACTAAAATGGTAGCTGATGAAGTTCAAGCACTCAAAACTCAATGTGATAATGAAAGAGAAAATGCGAGAATGGCTAAAATTGAAGCCGATAAAGTCGGTATCTACTTTCCTTATTATAAGTATAAATTTACTAATTTTTTTGCAATTAGTAAATACAATTAAATGGATATTCAATCGTAGATTCAAAAAGAGCGAAATGTTCTGGCACATCAATCAGCTTTACTAATGGTAGACGTAGGCAACGATCCAAGCGGACGTCTTTTGGTACTACTTCAAGAAGTGGAGACACTAAAAAGAACATTGGAAGAAGAGAAGCAAGCACACGCAGCTCAGATACAAGTCCTCCAAGAAAAACTCGAGGAAAAAGAATCCAATGTTGAGTTTGAGATCGTTGAAGAAAAGCTCAAACTGTCTGAGGCAGAACTAGTAATGGTCGAACAACGAGCAGAACGAGCAGAGAATATCGCTGAAGCGATGAAAGGAAGAGTACGTGAACTCGAACTCAAAGTCGCTGAGCTCGAAAAGAAGGCGAGTGCACCACCTCCACCGCCACTACCTCCACCACCACCTCCTCCACCGATGCCAACATCTTCTACGAATGGCTCGCCGTCTCTCAAACTCATTACTAGAGAAAAATTGTCTAGTGAGACAAATAATTCGGCTGTGGAAAATATGGAAAATATGCTTGGTATTAATAAAAAATCACCCCCAATGCCTCAACAACCTGGTTAGTTTAATTTTTTTTTATCACATAGCTTCTTAATAATTTTGTTGATTTTGTCATTCAATTTCAAAAACTTTGTTTTAATTTTGATAGTAAAAAAAAAATACAAAATAGGATCCTTAGACAATAGTTCATAAATTATTCAATACTGATTCGCATAATATTAATTACGATTTATTTTGCAGCTATCGACGACATAATAAATCAAATAAAAGGTGGACGTTTTACGTTAAAACAGACTGATGTTAGTGTTATTTTTCAATACCAATCAAATTTTCAAATATCAAACATGAGTATTTTCTAAAAATATATACACATTTACAGAAACAGCGTGAGGAAGAAAGAAAACGAAAACAAGAGGAAGAAAGTAAACCGCCAGCAGTATCAGAAATGCTTAATATTTTAGGGACCATGAGACGAAGGGCTAAACCAACTCGAAATTCAATAAAATTTTCTAATGGACCTTCGTGATTGAAAAGTATCATCTCTGTATTATAAATATGTAATTTATATCAAAACTGAATATTTATGTAAGATATTTTTAAGAAACTGCCAGCTTTTCATATGACGTTATTAATGTAAGTTTTATTATATAAATATAGATCGTTTTTGTTAAAAAATGTTTGGATTAATTCGACTGCATTAACTTTATTTTAATAAATCATAAAGATTTTGCTTTAGGTAAAACTTTATTCGTGGATAATAATTAATAACACTAAACATAAAAAACTTATCCAAATTCTTCAATATTTTACGCCATGAATATACTTTACTAAACTAAATTTTTTTAGTCAAAATAATTTTATTATATAGATTAAGCCAGCTAAATTAAAATAATACTATTTCATTGTTTACTAAGTTATCACCATGACATTTGAACAATTTTAATTTCGAATCATTTCTAATCATAATTTCGAATTTAAAATTCTATTCATGTTAAGTACTTTACTAATTGAAAATTAAAAAAAGTTAAATAATTAATTATTTAAACAAGCACTGAGGTGATTGGCAATATTTTATTTATGCACATATAGTGAAGTCGATTAAAAAGCTTTTCCGATATTCCGTGGGCAAAGTGCCTCTTTCTCGCACGCTCGGCAAAAAACGTGCGTTGAAAATCGCACTTTTCATACGTATAAAAAAATACGGTACGGTACATGTTCGGCTCGCTTCGCTCGGGTGTGAACGACACACGAGACAAGAATCTACTTTCCCGTACTTTTATCGCAATGTACTATTATTTAGTTCAATTAGCTATCACGTTATATTACATTACCCAACTAGTTTTGAAAAGTAGTTTCTTTTCTGTAGGAGGTTTGTTTAAACGAAATGGCTTATTTTGTTTTGACTATGAATCAACTGCTAATTAATAAGAATACTTGATATCTTTTAATAAGTTGTGTTTTATTCAAGATAGTAACAGGTGCGTATGGAGGTTTAAATTACTCTAGATAGGTTTTGTTAGGAAAAATTAACGGAAGATCGCTTAGTAACCGAAAATGTTGCTAAAAAAATTGCGTTCTAGAACAAATGCAAATGTACACTACCAAAAATTCTTTTGTATAACTATCCAATAGTAAAATTACAAATGATGTAATAACTAACTCCGAGTGTAGTAATTTTATTAGTCTTATACTAATAAAATTACAAATTATAATAAATTTACAATTCGTCTTGTAAAATTACGTCTCTGAGACTAGTAATCTTACGATAGCCGAAATCTTGGCTTTTGTTGTAAAAATACTATCTCGACTGTAAAAGTATTACTACACTAGACTAGTAAATTGACTAGCTGCTAGCGATTTTATTGCTCTTAGAATAAATCCATTTCGTGTCTAACTCAAATTAGTAATTTTACAAAAGTATTTTTTACAGTGTACGATTTTTATCCTTAACAAGGTTTACATTCGAAAGTCATTTTGATTTTGTCAGTAAAAATTACAACCTGGAAAACCATGCAATAACGTGTAACTTTTATTGACATCAATCTGCTACGAATTTTCGAAAATTTCAATAGATTTTCATATATTGGGTTGAAAATTTTGTAATATCCAAAAATGAAAATTATTCAATATTACAGTTAACAAAATAGATCTTCTGAATAGAAATACAAAGAAAACTATGGTTGCGAAAAAAATGTTCCAATTATCTCGATTGGAGGATCCTTTCTTCTGTTCATTAGATCTAACATCCAAAATGTTTGATTCCATTTGGTTACAATTATCACGTATCGTCGTTGGCAATTCGTCAAAGAGAGCTTAAGAATCCTTTGAATCCAAGGAAATATATACCGATCCACAATGGCAGACCTCGCTGAGGCAAATAAATCGATTTGAAAATTAGAGTTCCCGCTTCTGTTATGTGGTACCACTCGCGGAGAGTAACTTCTTTCTGGGAAGATATGATCCACTATGCCGTTGTATTTGCCCGAATAGAGTATTTCGAACAACGATTGGTTACTTCAGTTTGTTTCGGCATTTTATAATAAAGATGCTAGCCACGAAGAAATACTTGAAAGTGCTTTCGAATTGATAATCGGAATGTACAGTAGTAAAGCTAAAAAAGTTTTAATTAGAAAATGTAATGTATTCACACTTAGCGATCTTCGGTATTTACATTTCAGTGAAGCTAAAAGCAAAACTAAATTCGCATTTGAATCTTGGCCACCGACTGTAGGTGCAGTTAGGCAACATACGTATAGAGTTTTTTTTTTATCAAATACAGTGGTAGCTAGGAAATGAAAATGTAATTGCTACGGATTGGGGATGGGAAATCGTTAATGATATGCTATTACCTGTAGGAAATGTTGATTCGCCCTTACCGAAAAATGTGCTCGAACAAGTATCATGTTCACGCAGTAAAAAAGAATGTATCGATGCTTCGTGAAACTGCAAGAAAAATGGTGTACGATGCACGAATCTGTGTGCACATTGTCGAAACAATACTTTTGATAAGAATAATGAAAATTTCTATTTTAATATCTATGAAAATGTTAACGATGATACGTGTGTGATGGATGAAAGTATAAGGATTGTTAAAGCTTTTCATCTGAATCTACAATTTATAATTGATTAATAGTAGTTATCGAAAGATAAAAAATCAACGGATAGAATTTTATAACAATAAATTCTGTAACTATGATTATAAATTAAGTAAGCTCAGTAATGTTTTTTAGTAACAATAATTAATAATTATGTAAGCGTAGTAATATTTTTTGAATAATTGTAAAGTGTGCGTATTTCGACAATTTGTGAAGTTATATATATATTTATGAAGTTATATGATTTGTAAATTTTCTTTGTTTTCGTAGCTTAATGAATAAATCGATTTAACAATGCCAATGAAGATTTTTTTCACAATTATAAAAAATTCATAAAATGTATGTATTTGATACAAATAATGAAATAATGGTCAAAGAATAATGTATAAGAGTATTACGGAAAAAATATTTGATTGATAATGTTCATATTAAGTTGTAATAGTGCGCAAAAAAGTTGTAATACTAACTAAAATCTGATATTTGTCTAAAATGTATATTTTTGTTATCATTGCCAAAATACCCCAAAAGAAAAAGAAATTGTTAAAATAGTATCAATATATACGATAAAAATTAATGTTAAAGATAAATCAGAGCGTGCCGTGCTTATATATAGCACTCTATTACTATATGTATAGATTAAACCTCTCCGCTTTCGGCTCCCCGCCACTCGCCGACTTTTACTCGCGGGGTATTTTCGCTCGACCTTTGATTCAAATTTTCACCTATTTAAACTCAAAATAATCCATAAGTGTAAATAGGAGATTTGTAGTCCAAGAATTGAGCTTTCTAATGGTGTATACAAATTTCACATACAAAAATGACCCGAGCAAGAGTAAATTTTGCAAGATAGCTATAAAAAGAGCTTTCACAACGCTATATCTTAAAAACTAATAATCTGACAGACCCCAAGTTGCAAGCTCTTAATTTTTAATACAAACTGCATGGTGAATTTTTGAAAAGTACCCTTTTTCCGCTTGTTTTAATTTTTCAAATTTTTCTTGACTCGATATTATCTGATTAACACGATTGATCGCTTATTTTGAAGATAATCGAGTTACTTACAACTTTCTCCATTGAAGTATATACTTTAAACGAAAACTGGTAGTGTTACACGTGAAAAACATGTTTTTGTAAATCTTAAAAATTGTTTAATAAATCTGTATTTTAATTATCTGCAGGTGGATTTCAGTTAAAAAATTCGTCCCGAAAAAGTCTAAATTGATTGGTCTAAATGTAAATACAATAACTGGAATAACATACTCGCAGAATCAATCGCTCGTATAATAAACAATTAAATCGCATAACAATGCTTTTATTCCTGTTGCATTTGATATCGTCGGACAATAGATAATGAGAATATCCTCGATTACTTATCTATTTAAAAGCACGAATACGTTTTTTCAACGTAATGATAATTAATTAATCCTTTCTTGTGTTATCACGATTGATAAGATGCGTCACGTACCTTCATTTATTATTATTCACCTTTCCAATGTCTGGAGTTTTTTACATTTTCTTATCCATTCATTTTCTACTTGCTGCTATAAAAGTTTCAATCGCTTTCGTCTTGACGATTGCAATTTTCTTCTCTCCAAAAGGCTCTTTATAAAGAAAACATGACTGCTCTACCTCGCTATATCGTCTTGTGGTTGATACATTATTTAAAGAATCATAAAATCTAAAAATAATAAAATACAATGGTGTTAAAGACGAAGGATTTTTTTAGAACACGTAATGGCATTTACATGAAAACAAAAAGTGAAATTATTGAAGTCGTTGGTTTTTATACTTAATAGACAATAAAAAACACGTTAAAAACTGATATTTATTGTTAATACACTAAAAATATAGACTTATTAAAATACATACTATGTTAAATACAACCTTTGTTCAATCATGATAAATAAACCGGCTTTAAAAATAAACGTGTATGAAAATCTACTATTTTAATTTGCATGTACTTTTAATTCTACGTCAATGTGAAATACTTACACATATATTTTTTCGTTATGTTTGTTAATTCAATGAGAAATTATGACGTAAGAATCAAGTAATTGTGTATGCACTTTGGTGAGTAAAGTAAGTCGCAATTTTTTTTGAAATAACTGTCTACATTCAAAAATGTAAATATATGAAAAATCTAAAGTACTCGTATATAGCAGTAACAAATCATTAAGTTTTTATCTTTATTACAGTTCATTATTACTAAATTTTATGATAAAAACTACATAAAAAATTGCTTATAAACCGTTCCTATTCAATAGACTATTTCCTCCACCCATCCATATCACTTCATTGTAGGTTGAACTAAAAAAAAAATTTGAGTAGAATTAAGTCGATTTGCATTCATACATCTTATTCGAGTTTGAACATATTTTTTACAGTACATATTATAAATATAATGTTCATGGAAATGATGATAAGAATTGCCAAATTTGATTTAATGTTGTATTCTTTATTATATAAATATATAAATAGACAGTTTTCATTGAAGAACAACATTGGTTCAATATTTCATTTGAGTAATATGTTTAATAATATCATGGCCATTATAACGTGAACATTAAGAAGCAAGTTAAGCATCGATACAATATGAACATTTTTATGATCTAGCACGTCGTGTCAAATAGAAAAATAAGAACATTAGTTCTATTCACGACTATCTTATAATATGCAACCCAAGTATTAAAAAAAATTCGCTCGCAACAAAATATATACATTTTAATCACAATTAGTTAAAATATGAAGTTTGTTCATAAGAATTAACATGGCGTAAGCTCCATCCTCATCCTGTCAACTATCCGTTGTAACTTTGAAGACTCAAATAATAGTACTCGCCTGTATGGCGTCATTTCATAATCATCTTCCTCCCATGCACCAGAAAGACCGTTATCCGACTCTTTCTCAACGGAAAATTCAAAGCTAAAAGTAGCTTCATCTGCAAAAAACTCTTCCTCTGGATTGCTATATATAATATTTGGTTCTTCTTCTGGAGAATATTTAAGTTTGTTTTTCTTTTTCTTCTTCCCATTTTCATCGTTAGTTTTATATAACTTACAAATTAAGATATAATAAGAAAATTTGAAAGGCATATTTTTGTTTACAGCACGTCTCATTTCTGAAATAAGATTTTCTAGTAAAGGAACTGAAATTTGTGCTGGAATGTTAACAAAACGTTCGTTAATTAAAAGTCCTAAAGCTGCAGAATCATTTTCAAGGACATGCTTGACCATTGTGTTCACTGAATCTGTCGCATGATCCTGTGCAAGTTGCTTGAGTAAGTCTCTCAATTGCTGAATGCATGGAGTAGTCTGAAAAATAATTGTTTGTATAATTGAAGTTGGTGAATACCAACAATAAATTTTACACTCTTGCTCAAATTGGGTAAAATAAGTATATGTACCTGTCTATTTGAAACATTGATAACTGTAGTGATTCCAAAAACATTGTCATGATCATCATCTTCTTCATCGTCAGATGCCAGATCATCTTGGGACTGTTTAACGACTGATCCGACGTAATTTTGTTGTATTATTAAATCTGTCAATTTATTGAGATCTATATGAGCTTTCAAAAAAAGTTGTTGTAGAAGTGTTTTAATGCCATGAAAATCAGGATCCTCAGGATTACGACCTTCAAAATCTACTTGAATCTCCATGCCCTAATAAATGTTATATAATAGAAATTATTAATCTATCTAAAACTTTTGTGTCAGTGAGTGCCTCGTAATTATTGAATTTATAATTATTATTCAAAACATATAAGCTCCAGATAGCTATAAATAAAAATTATTTGATAAATTATTGTTTAATTATACGAATACAGTAATTGTTCTTCAGTAAAACAATATCTTATTGATGTTATCGATTCGCAAGAATTTCGAAATATTAAATTTATAAACAAACAAAACGGAAGTCCGATAAATATAACATAGTTGGTGTAACAGTGGAGGCCTCGTGGTAAAAAAGTAAGGTTAGACATAGCATCACGTAAATTATTTCTGATAGTTATGTAAATAATCAGAAAAAATTAAGCCTACCTTCTCATTTTTAACCTCATCTTCACTCTCTTCACTGTTGGAGTCGTTACTATTCTCATTTTCGCGTTCATTGTTAAAATCACCTTGAAGCTCACGTTTCTTTGCTGGGCCAGCCATTTTTACTGTTACTTCTGTGACTGATCTTGCATAAAATACTTATGTAGTCTGATAAGCGGCATTTAGCCCGGCCCCGGCTCTAGCAACCGATGCGAAAACAGCCCGACACAAATAACATTTTATAAAAAAAATAATCACATCTCACGTATATCTAATTGTACTTCTCGAAAAAATAATTATTTGTTATTGTACCATTATATTTCTCATAAAAAATAAAAAATATCGTTATCGATAATTCACCTCCTATTTATTCACATAAAAGACATAATTAAGCAAAAATAACTTCACAGAAAAATTGTACCTTCTGTAGTCTAAATTGTACCATTAGTAAAATTCTATAAATTTGTTTCTAAAAGAAATAATAGGACAATTACAAAGCTCTACGCCCGCGCAAAGTGCATTTCCGGATGACATTCTTGTAAGTTGTAACAATTAGTGGTAATTTGTAATTGTCCTATTATTTCTTTTAGAAACAAATTTATAGAATTGTACTGATGGTAAAATTTAGACTACAGAAGGTACAATTTTTCTGTGAATTTATTTTTGCTTAATTATGTCTTTTATGTGAATAAATAGGAGGTGAATTATCGATAACGATATTTTTTATTTTTGATATAATGATAGAAATATAATGGTACAATAACAAATAATTATTTTTTCGAGAAGTACAATTAGACATACGTGAGATGTGATCATTTTTTCTTATAAAATGTTATTTGTATCGGGCTGTTTTCGCATCAGTCTCTAGCAGAAGTTATCAGAAGCTATGGTGTCGTAGTAGCTACTAGCTAGTAGCTACAATGGACATTCTGGTACACTGTTTTGGTGTATCATTTGTTGTAGGTTTACTAATAGCATTTTTGTTTAAACGCCGACAAAGAACGGAAAGTGTATGTATTATTGTGCTAGGCGATGTTGGAAGAAGTCCACGAATGCAGTATCATGCTGCTTCTTTTGCAAAAGAACAATATGCAGTCGAAATCGTTGGTTACAAAGGTTCACCACCTCTTGAAAAACTTCAAAATGATCCCAACGTTAAAATTCACTATTTACATAGCTATCCAGATTTAAAACAGAGTATGTATTTTTCAGTCATTCATTTTATTTTCGTAATATACTAAAGAAATATGAGAGTTCAGTTATATCTTATTTGCAATTTTTGTAGTCTAATACTGTACAAATAAGATATAATATTTATTTCACAGATTTTTCTAAGACTCTTGCTTATACTGTAAAAGTTATTTGGCAATCTACTGATCTTTTATACACTCTACTCTTCAAATGTTCTTCAAGCTTTTTACTTTTACAAAATCCTCCTGCCATTCCAACTATTCCAATTTGTTGGTTTTACTGTTTGATTAGAAAAATTGAATTTGCCATTGACTGGCACAATTATGCATATACTATAATGGCTTTAAGTTTGAGTGAAAAACATCGTCTTGTAAAGTTAGCAACACTGATTGAATCATTGTATGGTACTAAAGCAAAACACAACTTTTGCGTAACTAAGGCAATGCAAGAAGATCTGAAGAAACGTTGGAATATTCAGCAAGTTTTTTTAGTTTCCATACAAATTTATCTGAAGTTATTTAGATTACACTTGATCTTATAAATTTATTTTTAGAGCACAAGTATTGTATGATCGGCCGCCTGAAGAGTTTCAGCCAATATCTTTAGAAGAAAAACATAATTTTTTGTTGAAACTCAGCAATGATTATAAAATATTGAAAGGGTCTGAAGAAACTTCTACTATTATTTCAAAACAACAACCAAGTGGAGAAATAGAATTATACAATAACAGACCTGCCTTAATAGTTTCAAGTACCAGCTGGACAGAAGACGAAGATTTTTCTATTTTATTAGATGCATTAATTAGTATGTATTACTTTTATTCTTTCATTTCTTTTAAGTATGATTAATAATACTTTCATTTTGTTATTTACTTTAGATTATGAAACTGAATGTGAAAATAATAAGAACATCAAATTGCCAGATTTATTTTGTGCTATAACTGGTAAAGGTCCCTTGAAGGAATTTTATCAAGCTATAATTAAAAATAAAAAATGGAAACATGTTAAAATTATCACACCTTGGTTAGAAAACAGAGATTATCCTAAATTATTAGGTATGTATAATAAATTATACTTGATATTAAATTTATCAAAAAACTCAATTTAAAACATATTGAATTAAATTTAAAAATATAAATGTATGTTATTAATACATGTACATTAATACATAAACAACGTTTTATAAATTTGCATTTCATAATTATGCTTAAAATAATGATATTGCATTAATAATTAGGTTGAACACTCATTTTTATAAGTTTCAAGAGTTCATACGAATTGCTACTATTTATGCTATTATTTCTGCGATATAAATGAATTCTTTTATCAGTTCTTTGACCATTGTTCTGTTCTAAAACATTCAATTATAAAAATAAATAACTATTATAACACATCAATTTTTAGCTAGTGCTGATTTAGGTGTGTGTCTTCACACATCTTCAAGTGGTCTAGATTTACCTATGAAAATAGTAGATATGTTTGGATGTGGATTACCAGTATGTGCTTACAACTTTAAATGGTATGTAAATATAAATTTATCTTTAGTATAGATGGATTAGTTGTAATTGTAGACTATTTATATCATATCTTTTCAGTTTACATGAGCTTGTCAGACATAATGAAAATAGTTTAGTTTTTTCTGATGTTAACCAATTAAGTGATCAACTGATATCATGGTTTAAAAATTTTCCTAATGATGCCGAGCAGCAAGAAACAAACAAAAAATTTAAAAAAGAACTGTCTGTTTTTCAACAAAATCGATGGCATGATAACTGGAGACAAACAGTATTACCTTGTTTTGAGTGCTAGTAATATCACTTTGTTAATTCCATCGAATAGTTTATTTTTTTATTATTTACTGAAAACATTGTGTATTTGAAGATGTAATTGCATATCATTGTTTTGCTTTTTACAATTTTGAAAAGCATTTGATCGTGCCAATATTTTTTCATATATTTCTGCAATTGTAAATGAATTACTATTAGTGATATTTAAAACAATAATTATATTGTTATATATATGTATACTAATAGTAGTTATATTAAAAATACGATTGAGAAATATAAGTGAGAGCAAGTATGTGATAAATATTTTGTATATACAAAATATTTGAAGAATGTCTTTGTCAGTATACATATAAATATATATTTTTATGAAAAATAATATATAATTTTGTATCTTTAAATTGATCTTATTTTATTTAATAAGAAAAGTTCCATATAAGTCTATTTTAAATGTCTAAATGTCTATGTTATTTGTTTTAATAGCATACATCGACAACATAGAGGAGAGAGGGAACATTTATTGCGATAATATAATAAATGTAATTTATTATGTAATGTACTTGATATGACTTTATTGAATTAGAATTCGCATAGGACTGAGTGTTCCAAGGTCAGTTTTATCCAACACTTGTTTAAAACTCAAAAAGCAGTATGAAAAATTATCTCCGCCTAAATAGTGAGAGCTCTTTCTGTCGTCACGATTACTAAGTACCAACGACGAAAATACAAGTGGAAAAGGAAACCGGTCCATTGGATAATCACATGCACAGGAAAAGAGAAGTGGTCTCGAGATCGAGACAATGCTCGTGTGGCAGGGTTCATAAGCAGGAGTCGTCGCTCTGGGCAAATCAATTTCGCAGCGCACACCAATCCCGTTTCGCCTCTGTGCAGTCTATATAGATAGTTCGGTCGTGATGGCGACTCGCGCGAGAGAAGCATATTTTATCGATCATAAATTCGCAATAAAGAGCGAGAGACGTGGCGAGAAAGGTGGAAGAGCACATGCGCTTCGAGCAAAAAGCTCAGTGCGCACGCGGACCAGCGAATGCGTGCGCGGGTGTGAGCGAGGTGAGGCTGTTAGAGAGAAAGCCGGACAAAGCCACGCACTCCTCTTGCACCTCCACCTCGAGGACTTTTCTCGCTTCGTCTCTTTTTTTGCCACCTTACTTTTTTTATATACTCCTTTTTTCGCGCTCCACCGAATGCGCTGCTCCTTTATTCTTCTGTATAATGCTCATATTGTATTTTTATGATAAACTGATGGAGTATTACTTGCGCAACGAAAAACCACTTTATTTTTTTAGTTTTTGGCACCAATTGAATCAAGATGAAAGATTTAAATATGATATCATCACAAATAATGGATTCACTATGAATTTCATGCATGGATCTAAAAATTCACAAATAACACACTTATGGACGTGTTTATCTAAAAATCCGTGTCTTTTTAACAAACTCAGCCGATATGAAAGTGTAAAATCTTCTATCAAATGAAAAAAATTTGAAAGCGATATATATGAAGTAATTATTGTTTGATTAGAAGATATTTTTTATGATTTGACTTTTAGGTCCTAATAGATGATCACTTTTATCTAAAAGTTATATAGTTTTCGGATATTAATAATGCTGTAATGTAAAATAACCAATACAAAAGCATTGCAATTACATAGACGAAATAACTCTGCAATGGTATTTACAATACGGATTCGTATTGTTGATACGCAAAGTGATTTAAACGTGAAGGTCTCTGAGAAAATCGATAAACTTTGAAAAGAGAAACGTAAAGCAAATGGAACATGCTTCTTGACGTGGTAACGGGGCACGAAAGCTTTCATCGTTCAGAGTGCATGGCAAAATACACATCAGCTGTGGTTGAAGAGAATCGTGGATCGGCTGACGAAGTTAACTGGAAACCAATTTGTATCGGCGAGCAAGCGGACCAGCGTTGCGAAAAAACGAGCGCGAAGAAAGGTCGGTATATCCGTCGGCGAATGGCTATGAATTTTAAGAAGCGGGTGCATCGTCTTGTCTAGCCGTTACAATAAGAACGCGTGCGGAAAACTGGCCTGCTCGCCTTGCAATTCGATTAAAGTCCTTGCGCATGACTGTCCTAAAGAGGGAGAGAGTTCTGATCGATGCACTACCACCGGCAGCGTCAGGGCGACAACGACGGAATGAAAATGTCGTGGTACGTGGAGCGTGGAGCGGCGCGCGCGATTCGAAAAACGCGGAGGGGCGAAAATGAGGGGGAGTTGTCGACGCGTCGGAGGGAGGAAGTAAATTCCGCGGTGCACAGCAGCAGCAGCACACAGAGACTCGACTCAGAGTCTGGACTCCGGCCGCTCGCGACAGAGCCTTGCAAGCTCTCGTTCTCGCGACCAAACGTGCGTGTACACCTCGACTCTGCCAAAAAAAAGGACGAGGGAGAGATGGATAGATAGATAGAGAGAGAACGACGACTTTCGCGTGTGCCACGACGATTATGTGCTGCGCCAATTTATTTTCGTTTGCACGACCAAATGCGTTTTCCACGTTCACCGTCATTCCCCGCTCTCTCGCTCAGCTTGATTCGCATCTGCGCCGACACTCCACACGAACACAGTGCATTCCGGATATTATCGTGCTGAAGTGCTTCACAATTATGATTTACAATTTGGAAAATAATTATCCTACTTTCCCCGAGTGTTAGGTGAATCATGTATTGTAACGTGTAGGATTGCGTGTTATTTCTCTTCTCTCAAAATGATCGATGAGTTATGAGAAGAAAAATCTCAAGGTACTGGATCGACTAGCTCGTTAGATGTTTGCTCGTTTTACATGTTGAGAGTAATTGGAGGGAGAGAAATCCTTAGAATGTAACGACCTCGGTGAGGATGATCTTTTATTTGATGAATGGCATTTTCCCGAGATTTATCGGGCATTATACAGAGGCCTACAATAAAACTTACACAATAAACACGTGACAAAACTGATCTTTTAAACATGACAAATACATTGCTGTGATGAACTATTTATCTTTTGTTTGTTGTTCATTCGGATTTTTTTCTTGAATGTTATCCCATTGACTGTGTGTTTATCAACTTTATTTGACTGCAAGCTTCTGATTCATAAATTTTCTTGTCAATTGATTGTTTCTTGCTACACAAGACCACCACCGCGTGACTGGACTCGCTCAATTCTGTAATTGACATAACATCAGCAAACATCGATGTGAAAACTACACGTTAAAGAAATACAATTTAAAATATTATCATTAAACTGTCATATTTGATTTGTATACATCCATAGCAATGTATGGCTTATTTTGCAGTTTAGTTGAATAAAATCTGCTTTGAATACAGGATCAATTGTTTATTCCCTGCTGAATGATCCGTCAGCATCATTATCAACTTTGATAGGCAGACAGTTGATGTTTTTACAATTAACCTGGAGCTGTAGGTCTGCTACGCCAGTGTCTTTTTTTTATATATTTTCAACTAATGAATGTTTTTTTTTGTTTGAAGCGATTAGAAAAATATTTTACACGCTATTAACAATTTTATGTTTTACTTTAATTACTACAATTATTAATGATGTTGAAGAAATACAATATTCATGATTCAACGTATTTGTTTATAATATTCAATGTTTATGCTAAAAAGTACAATACAATTTACGTAATGATCGCGAGTAGGCTTTATGTAAATGATCGATATATAGTGAAAAAAAAATGTAGTTGACGAAAAGAAGGTAAAAACAGTGGAATAGCTCGTAGTTTATTTAGCGGGAAGGGAGCATCGCTCATCAATCAAATAAACGTCCGCCCTGGCTCGATCCTTTTCACGTCTTTGTCCCAGCTTGAAAATCCTTATGCTTTGTAGAATCTCGACGCTTACTTATATTTTCACGGAGAATTGTTAACGTTACGTGTCGCTTGTTGGCTATAGGTCACCATTCACCATTCAGGCAATATAGACCCGATAAAATCGATCAAGAGAAGAGTCCTACACTGGGTGCCATAGTCTGTAAATCTATATTTCGAAAATTGACTTCTGCGCATTATTGAGCATTCGAACTATTGAATTTTCTCTCCTCTCTCTCTCTCTCTCTCTCTCTCTCTCTCTCTCTCTCTCTCTCTCTCTCTCTCTCTCTCTCTTTCGAGTAAGCTCCTTGGCTGCTGCTCCTGCTGTATTGGAGTGCTGTTGCGCGCAGCCTGTGTATAAGACGCAAAGCAAGGACTTGCGGTCAATTAGCAAGACAGAATGCCTGAGCTTTGCAATTAGGCCGCTGTAGCTCGCTCGCCATCAGTCTACTTTTCCAAATTCAATCAATTTTCATTAACGACTTCCATGCTCGAGCAGCTCGCTTCTTTTTCTTTTTTTTTTGTTTTATTTCTCATGTTCAGCTCTCTATTTTACCCTACATGAACAAATCTAGGTCCATTTGAACGACGTGAAAAGTTTAATAACGTTTTCCTTTCTCTTGACATCTCTGGGGAGCATTTGCGAATGCGAAGAGCTAGTTTGCAATGACATTTTGAACGCTGCTCGACAATAGTGCAATTCGAAGTTGAACAAGCAGCATTGAATGCAATCATAAAGCACGCGTCCTCTGCTTTTATGCTGCTTCTCGCGCGACGAAGTTGCGTCTCTCGCAGGCATATTGTGTAAGTGTGACCTTATTGTTACATGTCAGTCCAATCGAGATAACGAATGACACTTACGAAACAATTTCCAAAATGAACGATTGTTTCCTGTGCCGGGGTGAATACCTCGTCTCAATATCTATTCAAGTAGTAAGGTGTAAAATTAGTCAGGCACATCTTTGTAAGCATAAGTATCAGCTTGCAAACATTTGCAAACGGTAAATGTACTTGAACTGAAATCTCGTTGATCTTTCCTCTAAGAAAAATACTAAAACGATATTTATAGAGAAACGCGTAAATGAAAGTAAATAAAATTGAAATTTATGGAGGGTAATAAATCATATCTGTTCGTACCTCGTTTCGTGTGAAATTGTATTTTTTTTTTGTTATCGACTACCACACTCGACTCTCTGTGCCTTCTCTGGAAATACGAAGAGAGCTACATAACAACGGCACGGCGTGGGTCTTGTCCAAAAATCGAATCAGCTGCCGACAAAATTGATATAATCGACGTGTGTGCGCAGGTAAACTTTTAATGCGTATACCGCGAAAGCCGCGTCGACGGAATTAGCCATCCCCACGGCTAATTTTCACTTTCTGCGGCTAATAACGCGCTCCTCTGTGTAAGCCCGCGCGCGGCAGCCTTGCGCTTGTAAAATCCGAGCACGTACTCCGTTACAGGCGCCACTCGTGACGGTCTTTAT